TGCCTGACAAGAACTGTACATTTGCTGGCACTAACTGTTATATCTCCAGCATGCTACAAGGCTGACAGAGTGCTGCAAGACAAATGGTAGGGGGGGTTATAGACTCAATGGTTTCATTTAATCATAGTATATGATGTTCGCCTGGACCAAGACAGGGAATTTCTGTATAAAGACCTAAGTCTGCATAGATGCTGCAATTGTGCATGCAGGTGCATGTGTGTGGGTGTGCACACACATTCATCTGTGTGCACACCTAGTGAGCACAGATCAATCTGTTTCATGTGTTGATCAATTTGTTAAAAGATGATAAAACTGCCTGCATTAACTACTTCATGCAGGAGGCCCCTTACTTTCTGCCTTTGATTTTATTTTTTTCTAAGGTTTTGCATTTCCAGAGAATTGGGTTTTGCAATTAGAATATGATTTCTTGATTAAAATGAACTGGAGATCTTATTCTGTGATTTTTATTCTCTTTCTTACTTAGACTGTTGCCTCTGGGGCAAATATTCTGTCTTCTTTGCTTTGCGCCATCCCAAGAACATCATCGATGCTGAACAAATAAATAACCAGAGTTGTGAAGTGAAGTCTGAAATTTATAGAATAGGCTCATCTATCAAAATTTGGACACCAGAACACAGTCAATTATCACGTATTAACTCGCTCTTGTTGGCATTTCAATGCGTTTAGAAAAGATACATTTCCTCTACACACGTTCCCCTGCCATACCAAAACACTAGCAAAATTGAGAACACTTCAGACATAACTCAGCTTTCCCTATGACTCTAAAAACTACTACACACAGCAAAGCTTATATCTCTTTATAAAAGATGACCCTGAAGAGTCTATTTCACATCCGAACTTTCTTAGAATGGAGGGCATCCTAAAGATAACCTTAGATTTGGAAAAGCATTTTCACGTAGTCTTACTTGATTTTTATAAGGTTGCAAAGCACTTCAGGCATCATTCCCGTTTCATAGGTGAGCAAACAGACACCCAGATATGTGAACTGACTTCCTGTTAACATGGAAGGAGGGAAGGAAAGAGAAAAGGAATGGAGGAAGGAAGGAAAGAAGAGAGGAAGGAAAGGAGGGGGAGAGGGAGGGAACAAAGAAGGAAGAAAGGAAGGAAGGAAGGAAGGGAGGGAGGGAGGGAGGGAAAGGAGAAGGGAACAGGGAGGGAGGGAAGGAAGGAAGGAAGTGGGGAGGGAGGGAAGGAAGGAGAAAGGGAAGGAAAGGGAAGGAATAAAGAGGAAAGTATGGAACTATCTTTATAGCAATTGATTAATTCTTCAGCCTGATTTAGTAACAGCAGCAGGGTCAGAAACTAATATTTTAAATACTAACAGAACTAATAGTGATAACGGGACTGTTGTAGTAATTAGCAGCAATAACAGTGTAACATTACTGCCTTTTCTTTATATATCATAGACTTTTCCAGGGCAATTTCATGTACAGTTTTGCATTTATTCTTCACAACAAGTTTCTAGGATAGTTACTACAAGTCTCATTCTATGATGAGGAAGCTGAGACTTGGGAGAATCACCTTTCTTCAAATCATACAGCACCTAGGTGACTACCTCTGGTCTCCCGATAGTGGGTCCTGTCCTGGTTCTCTCGTCAGCCTGGTGTTGCTTTGCCCACCTGTCCAAGCAGCTAGGAGAGGCCACCCTGCAGCTCTTACCTCGGGGAGGAAATGTGGGTGGGGGAGAACCCAGGCCAGATACATAGTTGAGGTAAGCATCAGAGATGGCATTGCAGAAAGACAGTAAATTGGAAAGAACCCACTGCAGAAGGCTGGGTTTGGTGGTGGCCTGAACTGGACTGGTTCCCAAGAAGGGGATCAGGCTGAGGACAAGAAGGTGCAGACTGTGTCTCTTGGTCTCTCCAAATGATGGTGTCTCTCTGGCTACATCACCTGGCCTTCAGCTTTATCTCCATTTACCCACAGAAAGAAGCCCCTTCTTTGTGTTAAGGGTAAAGCTTTTGATTTTTCCACTATCTGGATTTCAGCCTCCTGACCAGGAAGTTATCACCAGGGGCTTTGATGTGGGCAGATCGTACTAAGATCCACACTGCCTACAACTTTGCAACACCCCCTTTGGAAAGCACAGTCCACTCCAATGGGCGCAAGGGTTCTTTGGCCATGTCTGCCCAGTGAACCCTGGCTTTATGATGGGAAGTTGTGAACTGACAAGGCAGTGGACAGAGAGGGGAATATCCTATCACCCACCGTACATAGCTCATGGAATTCAGGAAGAAAGTGAGAACGTGGGTTTTAAAGGATTCCAGAAATCCCCATGATTTCTGCAGTTAATGCATATGACTTGGCCATAATAAAGAGAAATGTATGTAAATGTTCTTTATATACAGAAAGATGTTCTGGAGGTTATGGAAACAGCATCCAAGTGAGGTAGTATTACCTTGCACAGAAATGGCAATCCACAAGCTAAACACTTGACTCTAGGGGTGTGGATTTGTAACTGAAAGAAGCACAAACCACACAGCCCTTTCCTGACACTGGAGCTTCCCAGCTTTCCTGGTCGAGCAATGGGGAGAGGGCAATTACGATCAGAACTCTAGGATAATCTTTTAGAAATATAAAGTAGAGAAAGGTGGTAGAGGGGGAGAGGAGAGAGAAGCGGAGCTGTCAGCATGCTTGATGTTAAATAAAACCTACCAAGACTCAGCTGAGAATTTTAGCAGAATCCAAATGTGCTAAAAAAAAAAAAAAAAAAAAAAAAGGCATGGCTCCCATCTCTAAGGTTCACAGCTAAGCTGGCTTAGAATCACACATGCCAAGGTTAAAAATAAAAAGCAGCCATCCCTGAATGACAAGGGCTCCGGGATGGAAGCCTGAGGTATGCTGTTTAGTGGTGGAAGGAAGAGAGGGGAGGGAGGAGAGTCTGGGTTCAGCGTATAGGTATTTATCGGAGGGCACACTGAAAGCCAGATGCTCAGAATTTTGCTGTTTTGCACTTAAAAGGCACTTCACATTGGCAAAAGGTTTCATAATGATCTTCAGATTTTCCATCGAGGAAATGCTGGCCTGCATTCGAATGTTGTGGCTGACCCACTCTGGGCTCTGCTGTTCAATGTGTTTGCCTCCCCCATCCCGGGGTCTGGCTCAGACAGTGTCCACATGCACCTAGACGGGATGCCCATGAGTCATAGCTTGGAAAGCACAGCGGGCTATTGGCATTGGCACGAAGCCAGATCTGCCACTCTGTGCCACTCTACCCTATTAACCAGACATAGTGGTGCTGGGGCCACCCACAGGCTAGTTAGCCCCTGCTTGGCTGCAATGGGGACAGACTCTGTGTTGGCTTGCTAAGGACGGTGCATGACCCACTCCTTGTCCCCACAACCACAACTATTGTGGGTCAGGGCTAACCTGCAAAGGTGCTAAATCAGGCCTGTGGTCCCCTACTTTTGGTAAATCCAGGGCCCTCTGTTATAAGTCCAGCGGGGTCCTCTTTCTAATGAAGTTGTCCCTTGTCCAATATGCATATGATCTCTACTGCCTAAAGCTGTAGATAAAAATAGCAGATTTAGCCTCAGCTACTGTGTCAGCTACCATGTTACCCCTCCCCAACGTCATTACTATGCAGATGTTTCTAGAAAGTCTTCAAAGGGTCAGGTGAATGGTGAGAATTCTGTGACCTATGTGTTAACAGGGAGCCCAGACATTACATCCCCAAATGTGGGCCAATCCTACACTTCAGCACCATACAGGGCTGGGGAGGCGGATGGGCATTGAGGAGTGGACGCTGCCACCTTACAGAAGCTTTGGTCTGTGCCTTGACACCCCCAGTGGGGATAATTCTCCTTCCTGGCATGCATGGGAAGCATAGACAGTCTATGCATGACTGGCTGCCCCTAGGACCCTCGCCAGTCTTCACCCACATGCCCACCTTCAAATTCCACATTTTGGCTGCTGGTTTAGAAGTATCACTTAACGTGAAGTGTCTTTTTTACACCTTTAAGGCACTTTAGAAAAGCCTTGGAAGGTATACAGGGCAAGAACTGTTTTCCTGCCCTTGGGATGGATGAGAAACTAAAGGCTGATAGAGTTTAAGAAACTTGCTGAAGCGTAAGTGACAGACCCAAGACTCGAATCCAGGGCTCTTTCCACTACTCCAAGACCACCTACCCAGGGCCAGATCTACTGGGGATCTCAGCCCCGGTACAGCAGCAAATACCTGGGTTTGAGATTGAGACTTCCTAAGGCATCTTTCTTACTGGAGACCTCTGGGGATGCACTGTCATTTGACCTGCACTCTGGGGATCTTTCCCAAACAGAGCCTTGCTGCAAGGAGTCTCTGAACTGCCTTCCCTTTTTCAGGGTCCTTCAGGTGCTGGGTACCAGCAAAGACCTACAGAGGGTCAGGATGGGGCCGTGTTCAGGCATCACAGGTCCTCGCCTGTCCCTTCCTTGAGCACCCTAAGGGCTGGTCACAGAGGGAGTTAGCCCTCCAGCTGGCACTTAGGTTTGACTGGAGATAATCCTTTTCCAACGACTCCAGTGACAACAGGGAACGCCCTCTGCAGTTCCAGAAACTGCCCATCTAGATTATCACTGGGAAGTTCTGGGTAAATTCTGCTATAGTCCCCCATGGCTCGACGTGTCAGCCTGAACCCATACAACGAGTCGGGTTAAAAGAAAAAGAAAACACAAGAGACGGATGAGTCTCCCGATGGAAGCGACCAGAGACCCGGCGCACGGAGCTGAGCTCCTGGTCCTTACCTGTACCAATCCAGCCCGCGGCCGTAGTTCCTGTCAAAGAAGTGGGGCTCCGTGCCCAAGGCCCGCACGTCCGGGTGCACGCGGATAAACTCCAGCACGGCCCGGGTGCCCCCCTTCTTCACGCCCACAATGAGGGCTTGGGGCAGTCGCTTGGTACCCAGCTTGGGTGAGCCGGAGTGGTTGGAACCCGAGAGGCGAGGGGCGGGCAC